TCATTGTTGTTTGGCGGGTCCAGGCTGGGGATTCGAACCCGCCACCTTAGGTGTACGTGGCTGGCGCCTTAGCCGGTTGAGCCACAGGCGCCGAGCCTCATTTTTCTATATTTAGTAGAGATGGGGGTCTCACTCTTGCTCAGGTTGGTCTCGAGTGATCACTCAAGTGATCTTCTTGCCTTGGCCTCCCAGAGTGTGAGGATTACAGGTGTGAACCAACAGGCCTGGTCTATGGTAAGGAAGATTTTAATGGACAGAAAAGAGGTGGAGCAGGCCTTGGAGCAAGGGGAAGAGCATGTGCAAAGGCAAAGAGGTGGGGAAAGATAAGTAGATATGTGAAGACAGGTGCTATTAGGCTTTGAACCTGTGAGCTCAGGCAATGCACCCACCTTGGCTTCCCAGAGTGCTAGGGTTACAGGCGTGAGCCACCGTGCCCAGCCAGTGCCGTTAGGTTATGTTTCCTGGACAGGGTGATGACAACATTCATCCTGAAAGGATACTCACTTTATTCATTTCAACTTTGATGAAAATATTTACATATTTTGTGTGTGTCACAAAATATCATTCCCAGGCCACGTACCTAAAACATCCTCCATCAGTCCCTGACTATCCCGCTTTATTTTCTTCACAGCCCCTATTACCACTGGCAATCACGGTTCTACTTGTTAAGTGTTTTCTTACTGGAGCAAAAGTTTTCTGAGAGCAGGAACTTGTCTGTCTTGTGCATATTTACATCTTCAGAGCCCAGAACAGGGCCTGACACAAACACTCAAGAAATATGAATGGGCTCCATGCCTATAGCACAGTGGTTACGGCACCAGCCACATACACCGAAGTTGGTGGGTTCGAACCCAGCCCAGGCCAGCTAAAACAACAATGACAACTGCAACAAAAAATAGCCGTGAGTTGGGGTGGGAGCCTGTAGTCCCAGCTACTTGGGAGGCTCAGGCAAGAGAATCACTTAAGCCCAAGAGTTTGAGGTTGCTGTGAGCTGTGACGCCACAGCACTCTACCAAGGGTGACATAGAGAGACTCTGTCTTAAAAAAAAAAGAGAAAAAAAAAAAGAAATACGAATGAACAGAAGCTGACTTATGTTTCACTATACCTATTAATATTTCATGTACTTTTATTAGTTCTGTGATATTCCTGAAAGGTAAGCCCTTTTCCTCCTCTCTGGGAAAATGGGCCTCTCTGCTTCCTTCCTGATTCTGTTTATGTGCCAGCCACACGGTTCCCTGCGGGCTGATTCCCAGGAGAGTGGTTGATGAGGTTGGAGGGTCTGAGGCTTTGAGAGACTATTTTGGGTCTTGCACACTACACTCAGGAAAGTTCACTTACTCTCCTGTAGGCAGAAAGGGGGCCATCAAAGGTCTTGCTGGGGACACCTGAATGTTGCTTCTCACCTCTGGCTTCTACAGTTGCAATGTTTTCTCTTTCCTGCTCCTGTTAGACTGGGAGGTGGACTTACAGTCACTTCATGTTCCCGGGGTCCTACTGACCACAAGAGGGCAGCAGTGGCTGGCCCCTCTCTGTTCCTTCTGAAGAGGGGGCTTGAGGGCTGGGGCCCTTCAATGGGCACCTGTTGCTCAGTGAGTACGGTGCCAGGCCCCATATACTGAGGGTGGCAGGTTCAAACACAGCCCTAGCCAAACTGCAACAAAAAATGGCCCGGCATTGTGGCAACACCTGTAGTCCCAGCTACTCCAGAGGTTGAGGCAAGAGAATCACCTAAGCCGACGAGCTGGAAGTTGCTGTGAGCTGTGACATTACAGCACTCTATGGAGGGTGATAGAGTGAGACTCTTAAAAGAAAAAAGATGCACATCATCTGTATGCCCATGATAATGATTTGTCAGATGTTTCCTAATCTTTCTCATATTCTGTAACTCTCTCTGTTTCTCTTTTGAATGAACCCATGATGCCATATACAGGTCAGTATCTGAGGGTAATTGTCCTCCAAAAAAAGAGAAAAAAAAGTTAGAAGAGCTATTTGGGTTCCATTTAATGAAAGGGTTGAGAGGGAAATATTCATTTAATTGAGCCAGGTAGGAATGATGGCACCTACAGAAATGCATCACAGAATTGGACAGAATTTCAGATTTATTGGGTAAATGTGTGCTGGCACCATGCTTGGTGGTAGTGCCCCAGGTGAACAGACATAGTCCCCACTTTGAGTCACAGCCTCCCAGTGGGGGCCCCTACATAGGTGTGGTGAGTCCTGTGGGAGGCTGTGGAGCCAGGGCAGGGGCTGAGCCTGGGAAGACTGAGCCCCAAAGGATGTGGATGCCAGGGGGCCATCAAGCTTTTTCTGTGACTTCCCATAGGCTCCATCATTAATTCAATAAAATTATGTCAAGCACCTGTGTGCCCTTTGATATCACCAGGGGTCCTAAGGTGAACAAGAGAGGTATGGTCTCTACCCTCATGGAGTTCACTGTCAGAGAGACAGATATGAAGTACATAAATCATTAAACAGTGAGCAAACATGACCTGTACCCTGAAGACAAATGGAGGCTGGGGTAAGTGTGAACAACGTGGTAATACAACTGAGTTGGTCAGGGGTGGCCCTGAGGAAATGATGTGCAAGCGGGGATCTGCGGTTGAGTGAGAGTAAACCAGGAGAGTGGGGAGGAAGTTTCCAGGCAAAGGGAGCCATCAGTGTGAAGGTAGCAAGACAGGAAGGAGCTTGGTTTGAGAAAGGCTTGTATAACTGGAGCTTGGAGAGGGAGGTGGATGTCTCTAAAGAGGCTGGGAAGGCCACAGGGGCCCAGTTTTGCAAAGCCTCGGAAAACCTATTAAGGAATTTGGTCTTTGGCCAAAGAGTAACGCATTGGTTGCAGTCAGTAGTGACACCGATCACATTTGCTCTCTGGCACCAGAATGGAACACTGGCTGCGTGCTAGGCAGGAGAGAGTGCAGGGACAAGTTCTGGAGTCTGAGGCATGTGTGGACATTTAAGGGCAGGTGTGAAGTCTAGGAGTCCTGAGACTACAGTTTCTCCAAATTTAGATCAGCTATTCTCTTCCAGGGGAGGGAAGTAAGGGACACTGGGAGAAGATGGGACCATCTCATAACTACAAGGCCTCACCTCTGTAGCATTCCTGGCCCATGCCTCAACAGATTCTCACTGTGAGCCTACAAAAGGAGGCAGGTGGGAATGAGTTCCACGTTCAAGATAGGGAAACTGAGGCCTAGAGAGTGTCAGTGACTTGCCCGAGGACACAGCGGAAATGCAGGTTGAGGCAGACAAGTCCCCAGCATCCCAAGCCCAGTCCTGGGCCTCTGTGCACCGGGTCTGGGCCTCAGTCCTTGCCACCTCCATCCTGGGCCTCCTCTCCATGTAGGGGCTCTAGGCAACCCGGATCCTTGGTCTCTTCCCCAGATGCCAGCTGCCCAGAGTCTTCTCCAGAGATTCCATTTGGGACACCTGCATCAGCCTCCATCTTCTCCTTCAGATTCCGTTTAAAGAAGCCAACCTGTACAAAGACAAAAACTGCATGAGCAAAAAGTCCATGGGGCACTTTGGACTGGTCAGCCCCAGGAAAATGTGACAATGCTTTTTAAGTTAAGAAGTCAAAAGTGGGGTGGCACCTGTGGCTCAGAGGAGTAGGGTGCTGGCCCAATATGCCGGAGGTGGCGGGTTCAAACTCAGCCCCGGCCAAAAACAAAAAAAAGTCAGAAGTGGCTCAGCACCTGTATCTCAGTGGCTAGGGTGCCAGCCACATATACTGGGGCTGGCGGGTTCATACCCAGCCCGGGCCGGCTAAACAAAAATGACAACTACAACAAAAACATAACTGGGCATTGTGGTGGGTGCCTGTAGTCCCAGCTACTTGGGAGGCTGAGGCAAGATAATCACTTGAGGCCAAGAGTTTGAGGTTGCTGTGACACCATGGCACTCTACTGAGGGTTACATAGTGAGACTCTTGTCTCAAAAAAAAAAAAAAAAAAAAGTCAAAAGTGCCATAGTCACATCGTGTCTGCTCGGATGATGGGGTAAGGGCATCTGCTGTGCTTGGTTCTTGGCAATACTTTCAAAAGCTTTAAGTTTAATAATTCATTCTTTGTCTTCTCAAAATGTCATGTACCAATTTTTCAGGCAGGTCATTCAACAGTATCTGATAATATTAATAACAAAGAGTAAAAGCTGGTGCTTATATAGTGCACAGTATGTGCCATGTCCATTAGATGCTCAAAATAGTCTTCTGCCCAGCAATTCCACATCTAGGAATTAATTCCAAAGAATATTTGGACAAGTGTGCAGAGATTTAGGTAACAAGAGCCTTTTTTTAAAAAAAATCAAATTGTTTGAAATGAATGTACCTCAGAAAGAATTTGAACGTTCTGCAAGATGGAACTTGTTAAATAAAAGATAGAATATCCAGACAGCAGGAAACTAGCCAAGTCAAAGAGAAAGAGGTAGAGCTTATACAGAAAGTTATCAAGATACAGTATCAGTAGCCTAGTGCAGTGGCTCATACCTGTAATCCTAGCCCTCTGGGAGGCCAAGGCTGGAGGATGGCTTAAACTCAGGAGCTCAAGACCAGCCTGAACAAGAGTGGGGCCCCAATCCCTACTAAAGATAGAAAAATTAACTGGGCATTGTGGCGGGCACCTGTAGTCCCAGATACTCAGGAGGCTGAGGCAGGAGATCACTTGAGCCCAGTGGTTTGAGGTTGCTGTGAGCTAGGCTGATGCCATGGCACTCTAGCCTAGGTGACAGAGTGAGACTCTGTCTATAAAGAAAAAAAAAAGAATAAAAAATATATAGTCCCAAGTGTACAAGTTTCCCAACAGGGTGTATATAGTATTATCCTGTTTACATTTTCTACATGTAAACACATCTCTTTCTCTTTCTCTCATGCTTACATGTATACATATATTTAACAAAATTAGAACCTGGAAGAATGTAAACAAAGTGATTGTTTTTTGTTTTTTTTGAGACAGAGCCTCAAGCTGTCCCCCTGGGTAGAGTGCCCTGGCATCACAGCTCACAGCAACCTCCAATTCCTGGGCTCAAGCAAGTCTCCTGCCTCAGCCTCCCAGGTAGCTGGGACCACAGGCGCCTGCCACGACGCCTGGCTATTTTTTGGTTGCAGTCGTCATTGTTGTTTTTTTTTTTCTGGCAGGCCCGGGATTCGAACCTGCCATCTTAGGTGTATGTGGCTGGTGCCTTAGCCACTTGAGCCACAGGCGCCGAGCCCAAAATGATTGTGTTTTTTTTTTCTTTTGAGACAGAGCCTCAAGCTGTCCCCCTGGGTAGAGTGCTGTGGCATCACAGCTCACAGCAACCTCCAACACCCACCACCTTAGGTGTATGTGGCTGGCGCCTAGCCCAAAATGATTGTTTTTTTTTTTTTTTTGAGATGGAGCCTCAAGCTATCCCCCTGGGTAGATTGCCGTGGCATCACGCTCATAGCAACCTCCAACTCCTGGGCTCAAGCGAGTCTCCTGCCTC